CTGGCTGAAGGGAATGGGGAGCTGGGGGGGTGGAGTCTTGAACTGGGGTCCTCCTGTGACTACCCAGTCAGCCCTGCACGCCAGCATCTCCTCACTGCAGTTTTCAGCCACTGAGCACTGGTAGGTATGGTGCTTCCTGGCAAGAAGATGAGGAAAAGCCCCCCAGGTGGGCAGGCCATCCCAGCTCACTCACTGTCAGGGACAGAGTAGGGAGGACATCGTGTTGCCACCTCCATAGTCTGGTCATCGCTACCCATCCTGGGTTGGAAAGGGACCCAGCTCCCATCAGTAATGTTGGCATCTCTGGTTTTTTGTCTGTGCCTGCAGGACTTCATTCACCTCTCAGCCACCCATCCCTGCAGTCTTCCCTAAGCAATCCCAACCTCCAGGCCTCCCTGAGCAGCCCTCAGCCCCAGCTCCAGGGCTCCCATAGTCACCCTTCCCTGCCCGCCTCCTCCCTGGCCCACCATGCACTGCCCACCACCTCCCTGGGCCACCCCTCACTCAGTGCCCCAGCCCTTTCTTCCTCTTCTTCCTCCTCAACTTCATCTCCTGTACTGGGTGCCCCTCCTTACCCAGCTTCTGCCCCTGGGGCTTCCCCCCGCCACCACCGCCGAGTGCCCCTCAGCCCCCTGAGTTTGCCCGCGGGCCCAGCCGACGCCAGAAGGTCCCAACAGCAGCTGCCCAAACAGTTTTCGCCAACAATGTCACCCACCTTGTCTTCCATCACTCAGGTATGCGTGGCTGCCTTCCCTCCATGCCTGTCTCCCTTCCCCCTTCTCTTCTAACTTCTACATCCCTTGTCTCATTCAGCTCTTGCATTCCACTCTCCTCTGCCTCCATCTTGTCGCCTCTTTGCTTAGGAGTGCAAACCCCTGGCTTGAGCTTTTTGGGTTCAGATTCTGGCTCTGATGAGTTGACCTAGGGCCATGGGCCCCAGCATTCTGGTTTTTGATACAAGGATGGTTCTGGAAGGAGCGCATGAAGCAGTAACCATGAGGTGCTCACACCAGACTTAGCCCAGGCAGATGCTCAGCAAAGAGCAAGCAGCCTGCCCTTCCCCTTCCTTCGTTCCTGTCCTCCTTGTCTTTGCTGCCCGGCCTCTCCTCTCGCACATCTCCTCTCCTTCTTTCCTGGAATTCCTGCTCTGAGAATCTCAGCTCAGGGGGGCCCAGGGAGGAGTGATTCTCGTAGGCTCACAGCACGGTCAGGAGGAGTTGGGAGCAGAACGGTCACCCTGGCGTTCCTCCCCGCCTTGCTGTAGAAATGTCCCATTTTGTCCTCCTTTCCCGTCCGTCCCTTTTCTTTCCCTACCTCTCTTTGTGCTCTGGTGCTTTCCCCACTCCTCTGCCCTGGTTCCTCCTCCTCCTCCATCTCCATCGCTGGGCCCCGAATTGTGTGTGTGTTTGTGTTCCATCTTTGCCCAGGTCCCAATGGGATAAGAGAGGCCAAGCCAGCAAGCCTTCTGCCCTCTGTGAGCCTGAAGTGAGCCTGGCACCCTCCCTGTTCTTCCTCCTCCTCCTCCTCCCTTCCTCTCTCACTCCCCCTGGCCTCTTGCAGGCTCTGGAGCGGCGACTGTCACCTCCATTGTGGTGTTGTGTGTCACCAGCACTCCATTACTGCCAGTAGCTGGAATATCAGGGTGTAGGAATGATCCACTTCTGAGTAAATGCAAAATTGCCCTCGTGTTCGCCTCACGTGTTCTTTGGCATCACGGGCCCCACCCCCGCAGGTGCCTGTGGAATACCGCTGTGTTGAGCATAGTTGCAGCTCAAGAACATGGGAAGCCCTAAGAGTTCTTGGTGGGGGGTGGGGACACTGAGGGGTGTGTTACCCCCTTTATCATTGCTTCTTTTCAGGGCGTTCCCCTGGATACCAGTAAACTGCCCACTGATCAGCGACTGCCCCCGTACCCATACAGCCCTCCGAGTCTGGTTCTGCCCACTCAGCCACCTACCCCTAAGGCTCTCCAACAGCCAGGAGGGCTGTCCTCCCAGGCCTGCTCGGGGCAGCCCCCAGGCAGACCGCCACATTATGGGGCGCTGTGCCCACCTGGCTCCAGTGGGCACGGACAGCAGGCTTACCACCGGCCAATGAGTGACTTCAGCCTGGGAAACGTGAGTACTGGGACCCCTGGCTCAGAAGGCAAGAGTTGGGGGGACCTAGGTGGTGGGGCCCCTTCCCCCGGGTGACACAGCAGTGCTGGCTTGGGGCTTCTCTCTTCCCGTATTTGACCCCCACTCCTGCCCTCTCTGTTTCTGCTCAGCCTTCTCTTTGATGATCACTGCCTTCACCTGTGCTCGGCATGCGTGCTTTGGCCTGGCAGGTACGGTGCCCACACCGCCTTTGGGCCCCGTGCTCGCTTCTGTCGCTCTGCTTGCTGTCTTCTGTATTCTGTGCCTTTGTCCTTGGTGGATAGGAAATGATGAGCACAAGGGATGAGAGCAGGGCGACGGGTGCTGGCCAGGGCACCCTGTGCCAAAGGCCACCTTGTCAAGGCCTGCCCATATGTCCACAGCTGGAGCAGTTCGGCCTGGAGAGCCCGTCGACCAGCCTGGCACTGGATCCCCCTGGCTTTACTGAAGGGCCTGGATTTTTAGGGGGTGAAGGGCCTGTGAGTGGCTCCCAGGACCTGCACACTCTGAACCACCAAAACCTGACCCACTGTTCCCGCCACGGCTCAGGACCCAACATCATCCTCTCGGGTAAGGCGGCCTTGGCGACACTGCGGGGACTGGAAGGAAGGAGCGCAGCATCTACTGACACAGTCGAGGGGTCTGTGGCCCTCACCTCTGTCTTGTACCCACAGGAGACACTTCCCCAGGTTTCTCCAAGGAGATCGCAGCAGCCCTAGCTGGGGTCCCTGGCTTTGAGGTGTCTGCAGGCGGGTTGGAGCTGGGCCTGGGGCTGGATGACGAGCTGCGCATGGAGCCGCTGGGCCTAGAAGGTCTCAACATGCTGAGTGACCCCTGTGCCCTGTTGCCAGACCCTGCTGTGGAGGACTCATTCCGCAGTGACCGGCTCCAGTGAGGGCACCTCACCACCATCCTTGACCGCCCGTCATCCCCCATCACTGTCCCTTTCCCTCCCTTCCCCCTGGCCAGTAGACTCTCTGTCCCCACCCCCACACCCCAAGATCCTCTTTCCAAAATGAATGAAGGATCCCAAGAATGAGAAAAGCAGGGGGTTTGTCCCGGTGGCCCCTGAATTCTGCATAGCGGGTGGGCCTGGGGGAGCTCAAGGGAGGGCCGAAAGCACTTGTAACTTTGAACCGTCTGTCTGGAGGTCAGAGCCTGTTGGAAAGCAGGGGCGGAGGGAACCCCGGAGGCAGGGCTCGGCCGGGTTCCTAGGGGTGGGCAGTGCCAGCCCCTCCTAACTACTCTTCCCCTTTGCAATGGAGGAGAGAGCCAGAGTGGATATTATTTTTTATTAAATATATTATATGTTAATAAAAAAATGGTATCAAATACTTGGTGTGGTTGTTACTGTTTGGGGTGTGGCTGAGAATCCATGGGTGGTTCTTGGGCCTTTTACCTTTCATGCTTTTTCATCTTCTTAGCACTATGACACGTTGAGTGTGCCCTGCAGTGGACATGGGGGCCTAGGATGGATGTGGGCTTGGGGGCAGCAGGAAGTCGCCCTGTGTGCCCTCCTCCTGAGCGTCTAGGGTGCTGCCATCATCAGTGAAAGGGCTCCGACTGGCCACACAAGCTGCTCCCCTTCCTCCACCAGAGCCTGGCCAAGAGTCGGGTGAGGAGGTGGCTGCTGGTTGGGTCCCCAGGTGTGATGTTTCTGGGAGAACCATCCTCAGCTCTCTTGGATGTGGCTGGTTGGCCTCACTGCTAAGGTTTTCAAGAAGGTATTCCACAAGCTGGGGTTCCAGAGTTCGGGAGGGCCTTGGCTGGCTGCCCTCCATCAAGCCTGGAGGACCTGGACAAGCCCCTGACATCCTGCTCCCGGGGGGCCCTCCTTCCTGCCCTGTGTGTGAATTCACTTCATGCATGCATTCGTTGCATGTTCTCCAGAGCCTTCCTCTCCGGGTTGGGCTGCCTTTCTCCTGCCTGGCCTTTGCCCTCTCCGCGCCCAGTAGTGCCCCTCCTCAGTTACCCCCCACCTCCTTGTATTCTTCTTCCACACCCAAAAGGCCTGGCCTCTCCCTCTTCCTCTTTCCAGAGCTCTTGTCACCTTCAGAAACGGGAACCGAGAGCTTCTAGCTCTGGCTGGAAAGGGATGCAGGGTGACCTAACCGTGGAAGCCACCTGGCTCCCCGCAGCCTAGTCCTTCGGGGCTGCCGCCTCCGCCCGAGGCATGCTCGCTCCATCTTGCGACTGGAGGACCGTGGGCGGGACGGGAGCGCGCCTCACCCAGACTCCGGGGCCGCCTGGGGTCAGTATCCTGCGGCAGCCGGGCGGTGGTGGTGGGAAAGCCGCCTGGGTGCAGGGGGCCCTCCCAGCCGCCAGAGGTCGCGCTGCGGGCGGCCGGGGCGCTGGGCAGGCGCTAGCCAGGGTCACGGCCGCCGGTCCGCGGCGGGAGGGGGTGAGGGGCAGCGGCGGCTCGGCGGCCCCGGAGCGGCGGAGAGCGGGGAGCCGTGCGGGGCGAGTGGGCAACGCGGGGCGCGCGGCGCGGAGCGGGGAGGACCGGACGGCCGGACCTCGCGGCGCGGCAGCCCCGTTCCCCGCCGCGTGGCGCAGCGCGGAGGAGACGCTGGGACAGCCGGGATCTCCCTGCACCGCGCCCCGCGCCCCGGTGCCCTCGGCCACCTCTTCTTGCTTCACTAGCCACCCGGGCGGGAGCGGCGCCCAAGGCGGGCGCGCCATGTCCGGGGCCGGGTAGCCCCGCCGGCCGCCGGCCCGCGGCTTCCGAGCCTCCCTGCCAGCGGGCCGGCCGGCCGGGCCAGTGGCGGGGGCAGGCCGGCAGGTAGGGGCTGGACCGGGCGGGGCGGCGGGCGGGGAGGCGAGGGAGGGCGCTTCGCGCGGGGCGGGGGGATGGCCTCCAGCTGTTCTGCAGCGCGGCACATCTGGTTCCGGTTTCTCTCCTGGGGGAAGTGAAAGTGGAGGGGAAGAGGCAGTTAGCTGGAGTTAGCCGGCCGTGCTGGGGGGGCCCCCTGCCCCTCCTGCTCCGCCAGGGCCCCCCAAGCCTGAGCTCCCCGCTCCCCTCCTGCTCGGGTCACGCGGCGGCCAGCGCTGCTGCCGTCACGTCCTCGGTCCCTCCAGGAGCTGCTGCCTCAGCCTCCTGTCTTTCGGCGCACCCTCTGCCCCAGCCCGAACTTTGCGTGGACTTTAGATAGGCAATGGCTCCCGTGCCGGGTTGCCGGCTGCAGGATTCGGAGGAGGGCAGGCCCAGGAGCGCAGGTGCCTTGGCTGGGGATGCCACCAGAGTCCCGCCTAAATGGCCTGTGTCCCCACCAGCACTCCCGCTCCCCATCCTCCACTGCTGGCTGGGGCCCGGTTCCCGTTCTCTGGCAGTGGATGGCGGAGGAGGGGGCCCCTTCCCTAGAGTTAAATCAGGAGGCTGACGCCGGCTCCTGGCCTCACTGCTCGCATAGAGCTAAATTTAGCCGGTGCTGAGGTTCGGTGTCCAGAGAGCAGGTTACCCAAGAGGCCCAGCTGCAGATTTCTTGCTCCTTGTTTCCTGGCGGGAGAATGACTGGGCCCTCCTGAATCTCCCCCTGCCTTGGGCCTGAGGTTGCCGCTGGGTGGATGCTGTGCTGGCACCTGCAGTGGGACCCTCACGTTGCCCTCACATACCCGCCCCCCCCACAGGCTGACTTCCGCTGAGCCCCAGCTTCCCCTATGCTGTTTGAGGAAGTAAACTCCCTTCCCCTCTATAGCACTCTCCAGGCCTCGCCTGCTGCAAACCACCCTCAGGGCTCTTCCCCAGCCGGCCGCACCCTGGGGCGTCCCAAGACCCTGGGGTCTCCTTCTCCCTGGGGTTGGGCAATGGAGGCAGGTGAGAACCCACGATGCCAGGACTTGGTGGGGGACGGCTGCCCTGTCTATTGGCTCCGCCGGAGAGTGCAGGGGATGGCAGGGACCATCTCCCAAAGGGCAGTCTTTGGCTCTGGGATGGCGGAGGTGGGAGGCTGGCTCTTTTGGGGGGGGGGTGAGGATGGGAGGGGCCACATTGGTGGAGTTAGAGCTGGGAAAAAAGACACTGGTTTGGTGAGGAGATTCAAAACGTTGGGGTTTTGTGAGCTTTCCCAGAAACCTCTGGGGAAATGGTTGACATGGACTCTTTAAGAACATAGGCTAGACGTTGAGGTTCTTAGGGTGTCCTCCCTGTGTGGAAGGTCAGAAGCCCTTGAAGAGACTTGTGTCAGCTTGGTGTGATGTCGTGGCTAGGGGCAGTGTTGTCATTGCGAGCCATTATTAAGGAAAAGGCGGCTACCTCTATACTGTTGTAGACATTTGTGTAGGGCACAAACAGGGCTGGGGCCTGTAGTAGGGGTCCCTCGGCTGGGAACCCATCAGAGCCCCGGTGGGCCGTGCATGGTGGAGTTTGGTTTCTTTGGGAAGAGGAGCTAGGTGAGGGATGGGGACAGAGGGATGGAGTGGGGGAAACTGGTCTCTTTAAGGAGCTGTGGTGGTCTGTGAGAGCCTGATGATGTCATAGGCGGGAGAGTCCTGGATTGGTTGACCACTCATCCCACCTTTCCCGGGAAGGATGAGGAACAGGGTAGCCTGAAGGGCTCTCCAGTTGCCATGGCAATGCCTGCCTCCTCTGCTTCATCTCTCTCCTGTCCCACTTAAACATTCCAGATGCAGTGAGTGAGGGGGGGGCCATGGCAGAGGAGCGGCCCCCCCGGCTGGTGGATTACTTCGTGGTTGCTGGGCTTGCTGGCAACGGAGCCCCCATGCCCGAGGATGCACGGGTCCCTGACCCCAGCGGTCCGCTGCGCCCCGGCCGGCCTGCAGAGCCCATCACAGATGTGGCCGTCGTTGCCAGAGCCCTGGGCGAGGAGGTGCCCCAGGGCTACACATGCATCCAGGCTTCGGCTGGGGGCCATCCCTTGGAACTCAGTGCTGGGCTGCTGGGAGGAACACAACCTGTCATCTGCTACCGCAGGGGCCGTGACAAGCCCCCCCTTGTGGAGCTGGGGTGTGTGCATCTCCCTGCATTGGCAGCCGGCGGGAGGCTGGGAGGCTTCTGGGGTGAGACAGAAAGGAGATAGGGGTGTGGGTCAGGCACGGGCAGCGGGAACTGGGGAGTAGTCCAGAAGCTGGGGGATGGGGCAGCAGGAACAGCCTGGGCTCACAGGTCAGTACTCCTCCCTGCTAGCCCTGCTGTGGGCCGGCTTCTCCATCTCTAGAAAGACCTCATTGTGGGGTAGGGAGAAGAGATCGCTTCATGTTAGGAACTCCGCTCCTAGCCCATCAGTGGGAGCTTGGCTTATTCTAAGTGTTCATGGGTGAGTTTGGGGGCTGTGGAGTGCATGTGCGGTGGCTGCTGACCAAGAAGTAGAGCTGAGGGCTATGGAAGAGGGGGACAGAGGACCTAGAGGACAGGCTTTTGGGGATAAGGAAGGCAGACCTGGGGTCTTCCTCTCTCCATCACCCCCAAACCTCTTGACATTCATTCTCTCTCTCTGCCAAGGGTTTTATATGAGGGCAAGGAACGTCCCAAGCCCGGCTTCCAAGTGCTGGACACAACACCCTATAGTCACTCTGCTAACCTGGCCCCTCCAGGCCCTGGGCACCCCCGCACCTACCTCACATACCGGCGGGCAGCAGAGGGGGCAGGACTGCATGCCCTGGGCATCACTGACCTCTGCCTGGTGCTGCCCAGCAAGGGCGAGGGCACTCCCCATACTTACTGCCGGTTGCCACGCAACCTCAACCCTGGCATGGTGAGTGGGGCTCAGTGGGGAGCAGGAGGACGGGAGGGGGAGAGCTGGGACCCCAGAGCATCGCTACTTAACGTGGTGGGTGCTGGGCATGAAGGCCTCGAATAGCAGGTGTGGGCTGAAGGAGACACTGCAATTGTTGGGGCTTGAAGGCTACTTGGGATGCGGGGGGAGAAGATGCAGCTGAAGAGCCTATGTGAGCTGAAGGTCTGCTTGTCTCTTGCTGTTCCCGGGGCAGTGGGGCCCAGCTGTGTACCTGTGCTACAAGGTGGGCTTGGCTAAGGGCAACACGCTGGTGTATGAGGCAGGTGAGTGGCCCCTCTGCCCTAGTTCCTCTTGACCGGCACCTTGTCATTGCCACTTGGCCCTCCCTGGATCTTCCCCCCTCCCAGAGCCTGATGGACTCTCCTCCTTTTGGGTACCCCCAAAAACTGCCGGTGGGTGCAGAACTGCTGGGCCGCTATCCGGAGGAGGACAACGAGGCATTCCCGCTGCCCGAGTCTGTGCCCGTCTTCTGCCTCCCCATGGGGGCCACTATCGAGTGCTGGCCCGCCCAGACCAAGTATCCCGTGCCTGTCTTCTCCACTTTTGTGCTGACGGGTGCCGCTGGTGATAAGGTGGGTATGTGGAGTGTGGTCGGGGGTTCAGGCTGCACGAGGGCCCACCTGACCAGCCCTCTGCCTCTCCTGCCAGGTGTATGGTGCCGCCCTGCAGTTCTACGAGGCGTTCCCCAGGGCCCGGCTGTCGGAGCGGCAGGCACGGGCACTGGGCCTGCTGAGTGCCGTGGAGCGGGGCCGGGCACTAGGCGGCCGAGCAGTGCGCAGCCGGCGAGCCATCGCTGTGCTGTCCCGCTGGCCTGCCTTCCCTGCCTTCCGGGCCTTCCTCACCTTCCTTTACCGCTACTCTGTCTCGGGCCCTCACCGACTACCCTTGGAAGCGTGAGCACGGGGCATCCCCGCCACTGGGAAGGAGTTAAAAGTGGCCAGGGGGGCGTGGGAGGTGGGCTGCGATGTGGGTGTCACTGGCTGGGGCTGTGAGTGCAGCCTCAGTCCAGTCTCCTCTTCCTTATTGGTTGGCTCCCGTCCAGGGACTGGCTGCGCATGCTCAGAGAAGCTCTTGTTTCTCGTTTGTGCCAAATTCTGTTAGATTAGACGTCCTACTGGCCAATGTCCGCCTTAAAGCAGGGTTCTAGCCGGAAGCAGGCTCATCAGGACAGGACAGGGACAGTCCGCTGAGCCGCTGGCCTCTTATTTGGTCCCCTCTCTTCCCCAGGCACATCTCCCACTTCATTCACAACGTCCCCTTCCCTTCCCCACAGAGACCCCGCATCCTAGTGCAGGTGAGAGCCAGGGCACGAGCTGTGTTGGGTGGACAGATCCGGGTAAGCAGGGGGGCCGACTTAGCGTATCACCGTCCCAGCCTGTGGCTCTTCCACCCTCTGCCCCCAGATGTCTCCCTACGACAACCTGCTCCTCTGTCAGCCTGTGTCTTCGCCCCTGCCCCTCAGGTATGTGACCTGGTCCTTGGAGGGGTTGGGAGGTGCAGTGGTTGAGGCCTGTGCAGGTCTGGTGCGGGTGGTGGGAGACTGAGAGTGGGGTGTGCAGGGTTTCCTGTTGACGCCCTGTGCACCTCTGCATTGCCTGCAGCGGTGCCAGCTTCCTGCAGCTGCTGCAGAGCCTGGGCCCCGAGCTGGCTGTCACGCTGCTGCTGGCCGTGCTCACGGAGCACAAACTGCTGGTGCACTCGCTGCGGCCAGACCTGCTCACCAGCGTCTGTGAGGCTCTCGTCTCGGTGAGCGCTGCCCAGCCCAGGGAACCCTGGAGTGCACTTCCTCCAGCTGGTGATCTTGCAGAAGGCCCCACCTCCCCAAGGCCACTGCCTGCCGCTGCCCTGTGCCCCTCCCTCCCCAGTCATGCCCCCTGCGCTCACATGGCCCTCGCTCCTGGGCTCTGCAGATGATCTTCCCACTGCATTGGCAGTGCCCCTACATTCCGCTGTGCCCACTGGTGCTGGCGGACGTCCTGAGCGCCCCCGTGCCCTTCATCGTGGGCATCCACTCCAGCTATTTTGACCTGCACGATCCCCCTGCTGATGTCATCTGTGTTGACCTGGACACCAACACACTCTTCCAGTAAGATGCTGGGGTTCCCAGCCACGGGCGTGAGAGGGCAGCAGTGTGCAGGGCAGGTGGCCGGCACTGAACCTCCTCACCCTTCCTTGCGTGCTTCTCTCACAGGACGGAGGAGAAGAAGCCCCTGACCCCCCGGACCCTGCCTCGCAAACCCTACAAGGTGCTGCTGGCCACACTGACTAACCTGTACCAGCAGCTGGACCAGAGTGAGTAGCCTTGGGGGAGAAGGGGAGCCAGAACTGCCCCTCCAGGCTAGGGTGCCAGGTGGTCCCTAAGGAGGCAGGGAGGGGCATGGGGACGGAAGGGCAGACCTAGTCCTGCCCCGTGGGACAGTGCAGTTCGCTGAACCCAGGGAGAATTTTTCAGCCCTGATTGGCTCTGGAGTCTGGGGGTGGCTGAAAACCTGGGGAGGGGGCGCGGAGACGGAGGCTCTGGCAGCATAAAGTGGAGGAGCTCAGCAGGTGGGTGGGTCCTGAGCCTCGCCCCATGAGCCCTCCCTCCACAGCATACACTGGCCCCGAGCAGGAGGCCTCCTTGGAGTTCCTGCTGACGGACTACGAGGCGGTGTGCGGCCGCCGGGCCCGCTTGGAACGGGAGGTCCAGGGCGCCTTCCTCCGCTTCATGGCTTGTCTGCTCAAGGGTTACCGCGACTTCCTGCGGCCACTCACCCACACCTCCGAGGGCGCCCGCGACGTGGACAACCTTTTCTATCTTCAGGGTGAGCAAGGGGGTGTGGGCTCAGGCATGCTGAGTGCCCCAGGGCAATTGCGGAGGGGAGGGCAGGAGGGTGCAAAGAGGAGGCAGAGGTGGGCATGGCCTCAGGAGCCTGGACTTGGGTAGACCCAGTGTAATCGCTCTGGTCTACTTCAAGCAAAGCTCTGTTCCGGGACTGGCCCTCGGAGAGCTCTAATTCTGGAAAGTGGGATTTACATGGGATGATGCTGAGCTGCAGGTGGGGTGATTATGCCCCAAGGGCCTAGGCAGGCTGTGGGAGACCTCCTTTCTCTGACCCCTATCCCCCCAGGCTTCCTCAAGTCCCGGGAGCGCTCCAGCCACAAGCTGTACTCCCAGCTGCTACACACGCAAATGTTCTCCCAGTTCATTGAGGAGTGCTCTTTTGGCTCTGCTCGGCATGCTGCCCTGGAATTCTTCGACTCTTGTGTGGACAAGGTACTGGGCATTACCCCTCTGGGCACCTGGCGGGTCTGTTCCGCTCCTGGTTGTCTCTGCTGTCCCTGCAGGTTGCTGTCAATAGAAGTTTGCATTTCAGCTGTGACTGGGGATTGTTAGCATCCCTGGGGTTACCCTGTGCTCAACCTGCACACTGGACAAGGCTGGCTTCAGATTCTTTGTTGACTCTCTGTCCTCCAGAGTAAGTTCCAGCACCTAGCTCTGCCCCCACGGCCACTCTCGTGTCCTCCTGCTGCAGGTGCATGTGGAGCAGGAGAGGCCCGAGCCCACTCCACTGGTGGAGCTAGAAGAGCTATCAGGAAGCGAGCTTACTGTCTTCATCACGCCTCCCGAGGAGCCCCCGGTCACAGACAGCACTGAGCCCACCCCCCAGTTCTGGTAAGCGTCTCCTGCACCTGCGCCGGGGCCCTGTGTGCTGGTCTCCAGCCCCTCTGGCTCGTGTCCATGCTGAGTGTGATATCCTCTATCTCTCTATGTCCCACCAGCTACGATGGCTTCCCAGAATTACGGGCTGAGCTGTTTGAATCTCCCCAGGAACAACCTGGTGCATTGCCCATGCCTGGCCCATCCCGTAGTGCCCCCAGCAGCCCTGCCCCTCGTCGTACCAAACAGGTAGCCAAAAGGTGGGCCCCACCCAGGGACCTGGTTCGGGTCAAGGGCTACTGCTGCTATGGTTTTATCTGTACAATGGGAAATATAGTAGGACTTATCCCATAAGAATGTCAGGAAGTTGGAGTGCTCCTGGCCATCAGCTGCCATCAGTCACCATGGTCACTTGTCACTAGTGCCGTCTTGTGTCCTGAGTGCAGTGGGATCCAGGGCTTGGCTACTTTGTCTAGACCTGCAGGCATCTCCACAATCTGCACAGCACAGGGGAGGTATCCTGCTCACCCTGGCCTGTCTCTTGCCTTCCGCCCCCACCCAAGGAGATGAAGGTGGCACAGCGGATGGCACAGAAGCTAGCAGCGGTGCCTGAGCTGTGGGCCCGCTGCCTGCTGGGGCACTGCTACGGGCTGTGGTTCCTGTGTCTGCCTGCCTACGTGCGGTCGGCACCCAACCGTGTGCGGGCGCTGCATACAGCCTACCATGTGCTACGGGACATGGAGAGCCGCAAAGCGGTGCTCCCGGATGAGGTAGGTGACTGCTCGCTCACCTGTGTGCCCACCCCCTCCATGTCGGTCCCAGTGAGGCTTGGGAGAAGGAGCCTTGGCGGGGACCAGGGCAAGCAGAGAGGGAGCCCTGGGGTCAGATGGGTGTTCCACAGAGGTTTCAGGCATGGGTGGGTAAATCTGGGCTTAGCAGTGGAGACGGGGGCAGGCTGGGATTGGTGAGGCAGGGTATGCAGGAAGGAGTTTTCTGGAGGGGTGGCAAGGCAGGGAAGGGTGCTTGCGGAGGCTTGTGGAGTTCCTTCCCAGCATCCCATGCCTGTCCTGGCCCAGGTGTGTTACCGGGTGCTGATGCAGCTCTGCTCACACTACGGGCAGCCTGTGCTGTCTGTGCGGGTCATGCTGGAGATGCGCCGCATGGGCATTGTGCCCAACACCATCACCTATGGCTACTACAACAAGGTATTGAGCCCGGGGCCAGGGTGGGCCAGCGTGGGGTGGGGGTGGGCGTACTGCTCCTTGTAGGTGAAGCCAGGCCCATGAAGTAACCACTCACCACCGGCATGCATCTGCGTGCTCCGTGGCGTCGCTATGCCATTCCTTCCCATTTGCTGGCTTCGTGTCTCACTCCCGACAGTCTCTGACTAGGGACAGCCGCATGCCAGGTGGTGCGCAGGCGTGATGCCAGATACCTGGAAGTCAGGTTATCCTCATGGCCGCCCCTGAGGTGGAATGGTTTTAGCCCCGGCTTATCCTGTA